TTTTTTCACTTTTTCCATCACCTCATGACCTGAGTAAAGCAGGAGCTCTGCGGGGCTTTGGCCGTGAAGGAAAGAGAAAACAGAACATATTTCAGTTTTAATTGCCTTGGAATTCCCCAGTGGGCCCAAATTCTGATAAATTCTGATGAATTCTGATAAATTCTGATAAATTCAATTCTGATAAATCATCTAAATTCTGATATTTCTGAAAAGAATTTGTGTCTGGAGAGTAAATAATGGTGGGGTTTTGCCATTAAGGCTGTCAGACAACTTGGACATAATTTAATGTTGATGCTCTGCAGTTTCCTGACAGATTTATGATTGGAGGAAAGTGGAATTTGGGTTTTGGGGTTCTTCATTCTGCTCTATCCTATCCATTTCCTTTCAAGAATTCATATAGATTAATGATAAAAATAATAATTGATGAGAGTAGGATTTATTTTATCAACCCCACTTGGCATTTTCTGTTTGAATTTTCAAGACACAAAATCATCTGTATAYTGAATTTCCAGAGCAAACTCCTCCCATTTGAGGAGGAATATCACATTTTAAGCATTAAAACTTTGATGCTGGGATGAAATATTGGGATTTTTTCTCTTCCAGGTCTGACAGCTACAAAAAATTTTATTCATCAATATGGCCAAGTTCTGCAAGAGCTTGACATGTCTATTTTAATCCCGCTGTGGAACCAGAAATACAGCAATAAATTCGATATTGTGACAGCTCCTGGTGGAAAAGAAGAAATCTGTGATTATTTCCTCAAACCTCCCTTAGAGAAARCCCGTTGTTTTATATGGCTTTTAGAAGAAAACAGAGAACATTTCCCAGATCTCCATCAAGCTTTAGATGAATTTTTTGATAAAATGGGTGAGTAGGCAAATGTTGAAGCGAACATTTCCAGCGAATATCAGTTTTTAAAATTTAAAAATCAGTGTTTGTTGTTCAGTTTTTACCATAAAAAGTTCTGCAGCTGCAGGTCTGGAGCTGCTTTGGTGGTGCTGGATAAAGGATTGTAACCATAATTCCTGAGATTTCACAGGGAAATCATAAACGAGCTCAAATATGATTATTGTTGTTGTTGTTGTTGTTGTTGTTGTTGTTGTTGTTGTTATTATTGTTATTATTATTATTATTATTATTATTATTATTATTATTATTATTATTATTATTATTATTATTATTTCCATTAATCATCATTATTTTTCTCCTCTCAACAGATGACCCAACCATTATATTAAAGAAACAAGGAAATGAAAATTTATCAGTAAGTAGACTGAATTTATTTTGATCTCAGCTCAGGAAGAAATTTTATTTTTGAAGATTAAATCTTTGCAGGCTCATCCTTCAGACTTGACTGGGGATTTAATCAATTTTAACTCCCTTTTATTAAATTATTTGATATTTGAATTATCTAATAATAATYAGTAAGGTGTTGCCTCATTCTGAATTGATTTTTAATTGGTGTCATCACTAAAACCCATCCCAGCTGGCAGAAATGTTTTGTATTTTAATTCTGTGTTTGAAGCGCTCTCATTTAAAGTTCTTGCCTGTAGATGAGTTTTCTTTACAAATCCAAAATTCCCTTCTGATACAGAATAAAGCTTTAGGATTAATTAATTTAAAAAATGCAGAATTTTAAGGTCTGCATTAACAAAATTCAGAATTTTGAATACACATTAACACAATACAGAATTTTTAATATACACGTTAACAAAATGCAGAATTTTTAATGTCCACATTAATAAAATGCAGAATTTTTTATGTCCACATTAATAAAATGTAGAATTTTTAATATACCTATTAACAAAATGCAGAATTGTTAATGTTCATATTAACAAATTGCAGAATTTGTGCATATTAAAAAAATGCAGAATTTAAAATTTATATCTTAATGTAATGCAGAATTTTTAATGTACACACTATCAAAACGCAGAATTTTTAATGTTCATATGATTAAAATGCAAAATTTTAAATGTACATATTAACAAAATGCAGGATTTTTTATGTACATATTAACAAATAGCAGAATTTTTAATGTGCACATCAATAAAATGCAGAATTTTTAATGTATGCCTTAAAATGCAGAATTTTTAATATAGATAGTAACAAAAAGCAGAATTTTTAATGTGCACATCAATAAAATACAGATTCTGAATGTACATGTTAACAAAATGCAAAATTTTTAATGTACGCATTAATAAAATGCAGAATTTTTAATATAGATAGTAACAAAAAGCAGAATTTTTTATGTCCACAGTAACAAAATGCAGAATTTTTAATGTACGTATTTATAAAACACAGAATTTTTAATGCACACATTAATACAATGCAGAATTTTGGATGTACATATTAAAAAAAGGCAGAATTTTTAAAGTACACATCAGGGTACATTTTTGTATGTCCACATTAATCAAATGCAGATTTTTTAATACACATATTAAGAAAATGCAGAATTTGTAATGTACGCACCAATAAAACGCAGAATTTCTTTTTTTGCTCTTCCATTTCACGAATTGGAAAATCCCAGAAATTAAATTAAAACTATCCCAATAAAACTTTTATTTCAATGTTACAGCCTAAAATAACCTGTGAGTTAATTAGTGTGAGTAAAATTCTGTTCATGTGTAATCACAATCCTGTTCCAGGAATTAATTAATTAGATTAATTAGAATTTAATTCCTTCATCTTTGTCCATCTTGGAATTTGCCAACCTTGCGCCTTCAATTTTTTTTTATTCTGTTTCAGAATAATGAAATCAAAGTTAAAAATAAAACCAGGAAGAAAAATTTGAAAGATTCAAAGGTCAGTAATATTCTGGATTTGAGTATTTTGAATATTGAATAATTATTCCATTGAATAATTTGAATAATATTTGCTAAATCAAGCAGATACCACTTATTTACTACTAAAAACCCATCTAAAAATTAGGATTTTTTAAGATTTCCTGGCATTCACACGGATAGGGGCTGTTTTCCTGAATCCCTTGAGGAGATTCATTATTGAAGCAGCTCTTCCTGAAGTAGAAAAACAGTGTTAAACCTAATTTGGTTAAAATCTTCCCTAAAAAAAAGCTATTTCTAAACTTCCCAAGTTATTTATGACTCATTTTGGCTCTGACTAGAGTCATCTTCCCTGGTTTAATTCCGAATTATTGTTTTGAATTTAATTTTCSACGTGGGAAGATGTGAATTCAGTGCAGGAGTTCCATTTAATGCTCAGAAACGTTGGTAATTATTGATTATTCTATAGATTTTGCTCAGAATTATTTTCTTCATGAATTTTCTGCTGCCTTTCGGAGAATTTTGCTTTATTTGAAAACCTCATCCCAGTCTCATCCCCCAACCTTTCTATAATTTTTCTAGAATTTCAGGAGGAAACTTCAAATTTTGCCTCTTCTCATCAGCCAGGGTTTATTTTTTCTGATTGGGTGCATTTTTTTGGTGTATTTCTGAAATTTTTAGGTAATAAAAATTAAGACAACTAAAAATGTGGTACCCACTAATAATCAAGGGCACATTAAACCATGTGAAATTAGGGATAACTCTGCCTTGTGGTAAAGTTGTTACAGCATTAAATGTAAAGAAAATTAGATTAAATTCTGATTAAATCGGTAAAAAAAGAAGGATTTGGGGCTGAATATCCTGATTTTTTTTTTCCTAAATTCCTTTCTTCCTGAAGAATAAATAAATAATTTTAAATTAAGGATTTTCTTGCTGTGGCTTAGCACTGATAATTTATGTTCATAATGAACATGATGAATATATGGAACAAAATTTGGTGTAAATGAGTTACTCCTGGTMTTGGCAGTGGATTGTTTTCTAAAAGCTTTTGTGAGGTAAAAACTAAAAGAAATCTGTTTTTAATCAGTCTATTTTAGTATTATCCAGTGGGGTTAGTACAGCACCACGAGATGAAGAGAAGATATTTATAGAAGAAAATAATTTGTGAGTATTTTATTCTGCTTTTCGTGCCCAAACTCCTGGAGAAGGATCCCTTAAAAATGCCAAATCTGGGTTAACTTTAATTTTTTTTTCTGATTTTTAAGGTACAGAGATTATACAAATGAACCCTTTGTAATCCCAGAATATCTCCAGGAGCAACTGGAGGAATTCGAAGCCCTCTATAATATTTCCAATAGTAACAATTATCAAAGACTTTCAAATAATAATCTAGATCCAATCTCGGAGAATTTATATGAGTGAGTATAAATTCCTGCACTCAGCAGCTTTGGGGGGGGGGGTTAATTTCACTTTGTAATTTTTATAATTTTTATAATTTTACAATAATTTATGATTTTTTTTTATTCTTGTGTTAATTGGCATTCTGGTGTGTGTCGTGTGTCCRTGAAGGAACAGATTCATCTTGGGAAAACTTGGATGAAGGTTTTTAATCAATGTAAAAATTTAAACTTTTTTTTTTTTTTAAGTTATTTTTCTCAAATCTTGGAAGAGCATGGCCCTCTGGAAATTAATAATAAATTATTGGTCGGGGARTACGAACATTTCCCCGAGGAAACGCGGAAGGTGGTGGAAGATGAAGGCGGCCTGGAGGCCTTCCTGCTGAAATCCCTTCGCTTCATCATGGTGGATAATCTTGTTGGATTGAGGAAGCACTCAGTGCTTTTTGAAGAAAATCCAAGCAGAAATGAGGCTGGAAATAACGAGGAAAATCCCGGAACTGGGAAACTCTGCGGGAATTCTCCTCAGGGCGGGCTGCAGCTGAACCCCTGCGCCAAGGAATTCACGCCGCTCTCGTACCCTTTGGAACCCCCTTTATCAGATTTCACCGATTATGGCCCTGCACAGTATCTGCCCTGCTCTTTTCCTGCTTCCTGCACACCTGGCAATCTTCTGCAACACGAAAGKATCGATTCTGTGGGAAACTGGCCGTCGTTTTCGAGGGTTTTATTAAAGGGTTTCGAGTCTGCGGTGTTTGTGCCTCAGAGCTCCTGGGGTTGTCAATATGGGATCCTGCCCCTGCTGCCTGTGGGGCCTGCGCTGGCACGGCCTGGCCGGGTTTGTGCTGATCCTGCAGATCCCGGGGAATCGGCCATTCCCTGTGGGAAACGCAGCCTCGGAGGAGCCTGTGGGAGCAAAGGGCTCCAGGGCCCTCAGGAGAGCGCGGAGAACTCTGAGAATCTGGAGAACTTGGAGAACTCAGAGAACTTGGAGAACTCTGAGAGCTCGGAAAACTCGGAGAACTCGGATCCTGCTGTGCCAAAGGGATCCCATGAGGCTGGACTGGGTAAAGGGGTAAAGGAGGAGAAGGGAAGGAGAGGAAAAGCTGGGATKAAGAGCAATCCCCACACAAGGATGGTGGCTGTTCAGGTGAGAAAATGGAGATGGGACGGAGTTTKACGGTCAGAGGGATGGAGCAGCTGTGCTGGGAGGAAAGGCTGGGAGAGCTGGGATTGTTCAGCCTGGACAGGAGAAGCTTTGGGCTGAGCTCATTGTGGCCTTGCAGGGCCTGAAGGAGCCCACAGGAACCATGGAGAGAGACAATTTGCAAGGGCTGCAGGGACAGGAGCCAGGGAATGGCTTCCCAGTGCCAGAGGGCAGGGCCAGATGGGATATTGGGCAGGAATTGTTCCCTGGGAGGGTGGGCAGGCCCTGGCACAGGGTGCCCAGAGAAGCTGTGGCTGCCCCTGGATCCCTTTGAGTGCCCAAGGCCAGGCTGGACATTGGGGCTGGGAGCAGCCTGGGACAGTGGGAGGTGTCCCTGCCTGTGGTTTATGTTGGAATGGGATGAGCTTCCATCCCAAACCATTCCATGATTCCTTAGAAGTTTCAGTGAATTTTGCTCTGCCTGAAGTTTTTGCAGCTCTTTTTATTGGGTGTTCCAGAGGGAGCTGCTACGCAACTTCAGCTTCTCTTCAGAGATGAAGGGAATTCCTTCTGTGTCGTTGATTTTCATTTTKTGAAAATTTTTCTGATTTTCATTTTGATGATCAGTTCAGGGATTTGTTTTCACTTCGACATTTGAGGATTTGGATTTGTGGASAAGAGGAGGCTCAGCGGGGGCCTTCTCCCTCTCCAACTCCCTGACAGGAGTGTGTGACACTTCCTGCAAATCTTAWATTTTCAGACATTTAGAGCAGGGCTTTGCCCAGGGATTCACAGAAGTCCATGGAATTGCTTGTGGTCAATAAAATCAGGGAAAGGAAAGTAAATCCCATTCAGAAGCACCTCCACAATGTTTTCCTGCATCATTTAGACCTGGCTTAGAATTGGGTTTGTAAAACTGGGGGTGAGGTACCAAAGCTCCAAACCAGAGCAGCTGCATCCCTGAACTGAGAAGTTTTTGAATTTACTCTTTATTTTTTTGTGTTCCAGGTAAACCAGGAAGCTGCTGATAGGGAAACCAACACTTTGCCTTTCCATCCTTTTGAAAATCACCAAGTGAGTTCCCTGCAGCCTTGTTTCCATTTCTCCTGGGGGAGGTGAAAGGAATGSCCAAAAACTGAATAGTGAAGAAATAAAAGTTCTCTGAAAAGGACAGGTTTTAACAGAAATTTGGTATTTTGGGTTGTTTGGCTGTTWTTGTGTTCTTGGGAACATCAAAAGACACACAAGAAGATGATTTTTGAGCTTTGCTCTGATTTTTGATATTTGTTCTGCTGGTTTGTCCTAAGCTATTCAGATGTGGAATGTTTCAGGGTATTTCCTCTCTGAAAACCTTGATTTAAATCTTCCATTTGGKCACACAGACAGTTCAGAGTGATGTCAACAGCAGATTTACGTCTGCAGCAGGAGATAAAAGTGAAAAAACGTGGCCTTTGAACTGGTACCAGGTACAAATTGGACTGGTTTTTGTAACTGATTAATTTTCAGGGAGATATCCTCCGCATGGAGAAGGAGCACCAGGTATTGAAAGAAAAACTGMAAGAGGCTGAGGAGAAATTTGAGCAGCTACAAAACAGAAGATCGGAGGAAATCACAGCTTTGGAAGAGCTCCTGAAAAAAAGTGTTGAAGARACTGAGGTAAAGCTTGTCCCTGTGGAGCAGAGCGTGTGGAATTCCCAACCCTGGGAGTGTCCAGGGCCAGGGTGGACACTGGGATTTGGAGCACCCTGGGGTGGTGGGAGGTGTGGAATGGGGTGGGTGYCATGGGATGGGATTTAAGGTCCCTCCCCACCCAAACCATGCCATGATTTTATCATTGATCATCAATASCCTCACTCTGCTCCAAACTGCATTTGATTAAAACACTTTTCTGAAGGAAAAGGTTTCTTTTTTCCTGCTCTCAGGTCTCCCAGAACGAGCTGGATTGGTTCCACCAGGACTCRGAAGCGCAGCTGAAGAAATGGCAGCAGGAGAAGAAAGAAAATCGAGATAATTTAAAAGCACTGAGGAGCACAGCTAAAAAGCACTCAGAGACCAATGAGAGGTACAACTGTGAATAGATTTTGTAAATTGATTTGCATTCCCTTGTCCTGACACTGTAAAAACTTCAGAAATATTTAAAATAAACCTCAGCTGTGGAACCAGCCAGGCATTTCTCACAGCAAGGTACTTGGCCACTTTCTTATTTTGAATTTTTGGGCCAATTACAGCTAAACACCTAAAACAGCTTTAGGTAACTGCTGAAACAAATTTAGCAATAATTCTTCTAATCAGATTTGACACTTGCTGCTGTATTTCAATGTCCTCTCTCCGTTTACAGAACTCAGAACACTGTGGCACTTGAACGCTGTTATTTTATCTTTAGTTTTAAGTAGTTTGGACCAAATCTCTCTTAAAAAATCATCAGCCTGTTTTTCAATTAATTACTGATTTATTGGGAATCCATTTAAATCTATTTAGCATAGAATCMCGGGATGGTTGGGGTTTGAAGGGCCCTTTTAAAGACCATTTTGTTCCACACCTTCCACTATCCCTGGGACACTCCCAGGCCTGGGAATTCCATAATTCCTGTGCAATAGAAATATTAAACAATCTCCAAAACATTCAAGTTATCATGGTGGTTGTAGAAGAACATATTCTCTGTTTTTAATGAATTTTTTTCACAGTAAGTTTAATAAATATTTTATTCCTGTAGGTATTTGAAGACTGCTGATGACAAGGAAAAGCAATATCACGAGTGTTTAAATACATTTCTGGAAACCAGGTAAAACTCCTGTCCCTTTCAGCAAAATTCACATTTTTTTGCTTCATTCTGGGTAAAGGCTCAGGGGAAAATCAGCACTTTAACCTGTATTTCTTACTCTAAGTGAGTTTGCTTTTGCTCACTCATAAATAATAAATACCAATATTTAAAATAATGAAAATATCAATATTCMGAATACTTATAATCAATATTTAGTAAATATTTAGTACATGTTTAATCAATATTTAGTAAATGTCAATATTTAGAATAATGAAAATCACACTCTCATACATTTCCCTTGATTACATGCTAATAGCTGTGGAAAATCTCTAAAATGGAATAAATTTTAAATACTGCTCTGCTGTGAAAGTTAYTCAAATATTTCACTTCTTCTCCTTTCCCAGTAATAAATTTGCTAACGAGAAAGGAAAATTGGAAGAGCTGATAAAGAAGAGTCAAGGTGACAGCCAGGAGTGTGTGAAAAGAGCTGTTAAAGCAGAGGTACAAACAAACCCMAAAAAAATCTTCAAAACTTTTTATTCGAGCTGGGATCGTTTTTGCTGATTGGAGGTGGGGAAATGATATCAAAGGTTTTCATCAAACACTGGAATTTTGGAGATGGGAWTTGCATTTTAATTCCTCCCTGTAGGAGCTGCGTGTGTACTTTGTGTCATCATGAACTCTTATTAAAATCTACTTTAATGTTTTATCCCTTTTATTTTTWAATTGCTTTTTTAATACATTTTTAAATAAATAAATTGCCTTTTTTTTTTCTTTGTTCCAGGTCTCAGTGCTCCAGACCTGGAAGGAAACTGAAGTCTGGAAGCTCAAAGGCACCATTGCCAAGGCAGAAGGAAAGGTCAGGATGCTGAAGGCATTGAGCAGGTACTGGGAGTTCCCACCAGGAATTTCACCACTCCTGGCTGTTAGTTATTTATTAATAATATKAATTAATTATAATATTAATTAATTRATAATATACAACAACATTGTATTGSTATATTTATATATTTATATATAATKTATATAATATRTRACATATTATATATATGTAATACATATTATATATAACATTTATCTTTATATAATTAAATATTTTTATGATATTATAGAATAAATATATAAGTTTCCTATTTTAAATAATACTAATTTTACATATATAGTTACTTATTTTAATACTTAAATATAATTAGATGAAACAGAATATTTTAATTTTATTATAATTAGATTTAAAATATTTATTTTATGTGAYAAAATTGTATTAAGTACATGATATATATAGAAAATATTAGAAAATATTATTCTAACGTTAATAGAAAAGTGCACAGAATTGAGGGTAAAATGTATTGCCCCAAACAAAATTGAGCTGGAAATAGAGTCTCATCCTTGTGTCCTTCTGAGCTGGGGAAATGAGATTATCTGGGTAATAATAGTAATTGTTAATAGTAATAGTAATAGTAATAACAGTAATAATAATAATAAAATAATAATAATAATAATAATCATCATCATCCCAGTTATTCCTGCCCAGTATCCCTGTGAAAAGGCTGCAGTGTTACTCATTTTAACCTGAAATCCCTTGAAAACTCGAACTGTGATTAATTTTTGAGGGAGGAATTGTTGGAACAGCACCACTGCTCTTAAAAATCATGGGAATGTTGGATTTTTAACTGAAATCCTCAATGTTTCAGCAGCTCGGCCTCAACAGCTCCTGTGCTGAAATCTCAGATTGATTTGTGGGAAATATTTATTTCAAATGTCAAGAAACAGCTGGAAAAAGTCGAGGTAAAACTTCCTTTTTCTTCACAAGCTTTTGAGTCAAACATTGGGAGTTGAAACATTAAATAATGTTTTAAAATAATGTCTTTTTTAAAACACCAATAGCTCATCCTCCAAATGTTGAGGGGGATTTTTTTAATGACAAAAGAGACACTCTGGATAAAAAATATCCCAGTTTTATAATGGATATATTCACTTTTTAAAAGGCAAAAATCTGKTTTTTATACACTTGCTTCAAAATTGGATCCCACATTCACAAGTTTTTTTTGGTTCTTGAACTTTAGAAATCCAAGGAACTTAAAAAGAAAAAAAAAAGGGAGGAAACTCTGAGAAGTTGAGCTGTAAAATGTGAATTTTTAATGAGGGATGCTGGTGGGGAGGATGATGATGGTTGGTTTTTGGTTGGTTTTCCTTCCACAGGCTGAGTATGAGGAGAAAATCGAACAGGTGAAAAACGGGGCCAGGAACTGCCTGAGTAAAGTGGAGATTGTGGATGTTCCCTCTCCTCAGGGAGCTGTTGTGAGTATCCCACCTCCCCCAGTGCCTCCAATCCTTGGAATTCCCTCGGAATTTCCCTCAGCTTGGTAGGAAATGTCCGGGAAGGATGGGAATGTGCAGCCTTGGGCACAGGAAGCCAGGTCTCCCTGCTGGCCAGCGGATGCTCCTGAGGAACAGGGGATGGAGGTGAAGGTGGAGGATGCCAGGGGGAAGCAAATTCCCAACTCTGGGAGAGGCTCCAGCTGTTCAAAGTTACCTTGGAAATGCATCACTCATGGGTTTGTACATCAGGGGCTTCCTGGAGCAGCAAAATCCTGGAATTCCAGAGGGGTTTGGTTGGAAAAACCTTAAATCCCATCCAGTGCCACCACACCCATGGCAGGGACACCTTCGACCATCCCAGGCTGCTCCCAGCCCCAATGTCCAGCCTGGCCTTGGGCACTCAAAGGGATCCAGGGGCAGCCACAGCTTCTCTGGGCACCCTGTGCCAGGKCCTGCCCACCCTCCCAGGGAACAATTCCTGCCCAATATCCCATCTGGCCCTGCCCTCTGGCACTGGGAAGCCATTCCCTGGCTCCTGTCCCTCCAGCCCTTGTCCCCAATCCCTCTCCAGCTCTCTTGGAGCTCCTTTAGGTCCTGCAAGGGGCTCTGAGCTCTCCCTGGAGCCTTCTTCAGGGTAAACAGCCCCAAAATCCACTGGGACAAACCCCCTTATGCAGAATCCCGGAATCCCTGAGGTGGAAAAGCCCTCCCAGCCCATGSAGTGCCAGCTGTGCTCRATGCCCACCTTGTCCCCAGCCCAGAGCACTCAGTGCCACCTCCAGCMCTTCCTGGGACACCTCCAGGGATGGGGACTCCAAAGCTCCCTGGGCARCCCCTGCCAAGGCCTGAGYACCCTTTYCATGGGGAAATTCCCTGAAGGAAMTCCTTCCCCACCCTGTGGCAAACACCACAATCAGCTCCCAGCCAGGAGGGAAGGAGGTGGAGCAGAGCCATTGATGGGAATGAATCTGGAATGAGAACAGCCCTGAGAAATCCCCTTCACAAACATCTTCTCACGGCCCAACAGCTCCACCAACGCCTGCCAAAATCACAGCAGCTTCTTCTGGACCCTGTGATTGGTCCCTTTTAGATTTTGGATTTTTTTTTTTTTTT